ATAAACTAGAGGGCAGGTTTATTCATATATTAAAAATATTTGCTGAGCGCCTACTATGTGCTTGACACTGAGTTAAACCCTAGGAAGGCAAACGTAAGGGAACCAAGTTGGTCTTTGCCTGCAAGTCACTCATAACCTATGAAAACCAAAAATCTAATTTGGTGTTATGAGTTCAGTGAGGCAAATAAAACCACAATGAAATATTACCTTCTGCCTGAAAGAATAGCCATCATCGAAAAGACAACTGATAAATGCTGGCATGAATGTGGAGAAAAGGGAACCCTCGTGCACTGTTGGTGGGACTGTAAATTGGCACAGCCACAATGGAAAATGTTATGGAGGCTCCTCAAACAATTAAAAATAAAACAACCATATGATCCAGCAATTTCACTTCTGGGAATGTATCCAAAGGAAATGAAAACACTAACTCAAAAAGATATATGCACCCCCCATGTTCACAGCAGGATTTATGTACAGTTACCAAGACATGGAAGCAACCTAAACGTCCACTGACAGATGAATGGATAAAGAAGTCGTGGTATATGTATACAATGGAATAGTATTCAGCACTAAAAAATGAGGAAATCCTACAATTTGCAACAACAGAGATGGAACTTGAAGGCATTATACTAAGTGAAATAAGTCAGACAGAAAAAGACCAATACTGTACGATCTCACTTATATGTGGAATCTAAAACGAAAACAAAAGGTACAAACTTCCAGTTATAAGATAAATAAGTACTATGGATGTAATGTACAGCCCAGTGACTACAGTTAACACTGCTGTGTGACATATAAGTTGTTAAGAGAGAGTAAACCCTAGGAGTTCTCACTGCAAGAAAAATTTTTTTTCTTTTAACTTTCTTATTATTGTATCTATATGAGAAGATAGACGTTAGCTGAACCTATTGTGGTGATCACAATCTACGTAAATCAAACCATCATGCGATATACCTTCAACTTACACAGTGATGTATATCAATTATTTCTTAATAAAACTGGGGGAAAAGACATGGCTAATATTTTGTTTTAACATCTTTATTGGAGTATAATTGCTTTACAATGGTGTTAAGTTTCTGCTTTATAACAAAGTGAATCAGCTATAGATATACATATATCCCCATATCTCCTCCCTCTTGCGTCTCCCTCCCACCCTCCCTATCCCATCCCTCTAGGTGGTCACAAAGCACTGAGCTGATCTCCCTGTGCTATGTGGCTGCTTCCCACTAGCTATCTATCTTACATTTGGTAGTGTATATATGTCCATGCCACCCTCTCACTTCGTCCCAGCTTACCCTTCCCCCTCCCCGTGTCCTCAAGTCCATTCTCTACGTCTGCGTCTTTATTCCTGTCCTGCCCCTAGGTTCTTCAGAACGAATTTTTTTTTTTTGATTCCATGTATATGTGTTAGCATATGGTATTTGTTTTTCTCTTTCTGACTTACTTCACTCTGTATGACAGACTCTAGGTCCATCCACCTCACTACAAATAACTCAGTTTCATTTCTTTTTACGGTTGAGTAATATTCCATTGTATATATGTGCCACATCTTCTTTATCCATTCATCTGTCGATGGACACTTAGGTTGCTTCCATGTCCTGGCTATTGTAAATAGAGCTGCAATGAACATTGTGGTACATGACTCTTTTTGAATGATGGTTTTCTCAGAGTATATGCCCAGTAGTGGGATTGCTGGGTCATACGGTATTTCTATTCATAGTTTTTTAAGGAACCTCCATACTGTTCTCCACAGTGGCTGTATCAATTTACATTCCCACCAATAGTGCAGGAGGGTTCCCTTTTCTCCACACCCTCTCCAGCATTTACTGTTTGTAGATTTTTTGATGATGGCCATTCTGACTGGTGTGAGTGATACCTCATTGTAGTTTTGATTTGCATTTCTCTAATGATTAGTGATGTTGAGCATCCTTTCCTGTGTTTGGCAGTCTGTATATCTTCTTGGGAGAAATGTCTATTTAGGTCTTCTGCCCATTTTTGGATTGGGTTGTTGGTATTTTTGATATTGAGCTGCATGAGCTGCTTGTAAAATTTTGAGATTAATCCTTTGTCAGTTGCTTTGTTAGCAAATATTTTCTCCCATTCTGAGGGTTGTCTTTTAGTCTTGTTTATGTTTTCCTTTGCTGTGCAAAAGCTTTTAAGTTTCATTAAGTCCCATTTGTTTCTTTTTGTTTTTATTTCCATTTCTCTAGGAGGTGGGTCAAAAAGGATCTTGCTGTGATTTATGTCATAGAGTGCTCTGCCTATGTTTTCCTCTAAGAGTTTTATAGTGTCTGGCCTTACATTTAGGACATGGCTAATTAAACAAGAGAATTCCACAGAGACAGAAGAGCCTGGACAATATGGAGGGAGGGAGCTGTCAGGAGGAGCTTATAATGGTGTTGGCATCTGGTCCTGGGTACAGTACAGAAAGCAGTGTTAGCTGTTTCTCCTTTTACTGTTTATCATTGCTTGGTTATAATAAATATTGCATTAACCATGAAAAGAAAAAAGGAGGAGGAAGAGAATAAGAAAGCCTGGCACTTGTGTACCTTTGTCTTGAGTGTATTTGGTCAAGGCTGAAGACATCCTCATATCCCTTTCCGATTTTTATTCCTCAAAATCCATTAAGAGAGTATGTGAATTGGGGAGATGGCGGAGGGGTGTTTTGAGTTCACTGAATCAGAAGCTACAGGAGCAACAGGGGTGTTCCTAATTTTAGAAGTGGTGATTTGCGTTCCAAATGTATTGGGGACTTGCATCCTACACGTTCACAGTGTCCTGAGGAGGTGGCAGGGACTCTAAGAGGAATGACAGGGACGTACGGAAGGGTTGGTCCTTTGTGGCGCAGTCCCTGGCCTCATGACATGGCTGCATGGAAACTGGACTCATTTTGGTGGGGGAGTGGGTGGCCCTGCATTATAAACTGCAAATCACAGAATATACACAAAGGAACCAAGGATGTCAGGGTTCGGGGGCTTCAGAGACCATAAATTCACCAGCTGCACACTGTTTACACACACACAACTTTCCTTTTGTCTTTTTTCCCCAGGTAGTAAATAATTGTCAGAGGAGAAATGTCATAACTACTGTTATGGATGAACATGACAGCACCTAATAAGGGATCCTAGAAAATGCACACACACACACATTCACAACAAAAAGCATCATGTGCCCATCACTGTAATGCACGACGGACTTGAGAATAGAGATAGGAAAGTAATTGAGTGATGGTGGCCATTGTGTTAGCCAAAGTCACAGAGAGAAGAACCCGGAGAAGGTAGGCATGTTCATAAGCACAGGCTCAAGGGTATCCAACCTTAGACAAGGAAGCAGTACTTCCAAGGTGGGTTTGGAAGGAGACCACCTGTTCACAGGAGCCTCTGGCTCCCAGACACAGCCATCATTGCACTTACTCTTTGGGGCTTTTTGAAAGTCTGTGAGAAGGGAGTTTTCCTGTCCATGGTGGAGAATTTTCGTTGGACTGGTTTTCCTGGAAGCAAGTTTGGAAGTGTCCTATTGAGAGATTTGCACATATACATGGGTCCTTGATTCCAGTGCAAAAGGCCAGATTTCCTGGAGATGGGAGGTAATTTTAAACAGCCTTCAAAGGCCATGTATGGAGTCTGACCTAAATGTTAGGTACGCCCTGATCATTATGCCTCTCGGCTGCACGTTCCACTGTAATTATTAGCTCTCACGTGGCTCCTATCCTCACAAAGCCCCCCTTTGAAGATGCCCAAGTCACAGACTGGGTCTGTCAACGTTTTCCTTCACGCCCGTGATGAAATGAGAGGCGGGCAGAATGTACTCTTCAGAAGGAGGTTATATAACAGAAGCCATCTGTGACCCTGCTCCAAGGCAGCCCACAAATGTCCCTTGTCTGTCTTCCCTACTCACGAGTCCTTGATGGCTCCAGACGTTGAGCCAGAGTCATTTACGAGGTCACCTATTCAGAATGTCTCAGCATTAAAGAATAGGAGAGGAAAAATAAACCAGCATCCATTCTTCAGTGTGGACACCGAGTGGAGCTTTTGGTAGGAGAGCTTTTCTGAGCTTTCCCAGACAGTCCTTCAAGTTTAACAAAAACACCATGGTGCTTAAGGCTGATGAGGTTGAACTTCAGTGGTACCCTTTGTGGACCCAGATGATAGGAATGTAAGTAGGTCTGTTCTGGAAAGCTGGTTGACTCATATGTATCAAGGGTTTGAAGAATACGTAATATTTTGGGGAGTTCCCTGGGTCCAGTGGTTAGGACTCCACACTTTCACTGCCAAGGGTCCGGGTTTGATCCCTGGTTGGATAACTCAGATCCCACAAGCCGTGCAGTGCACCGTCCCCCGCCCCCCCCACCGCAAAAAAATAAGTATTATTTTAATCACTTCCACTCCCATTCTAATCAAACAGTCTGAAATCCAGACAAGTTTATGGTAAAAGGTGTTCATTACTATGAAACATTGGAAACAAACTCAAACAGCCAATATGTAGAATTGGTAAGCGCTTTTTGCTGAATTCCTCAATGGAATATTTGAAGTCATGTAAAATGAAGTTTACAAAGAATTTGTAATTCACCTGGGAAGATGCTTCTATCCTAATGATTAATTTAAAAAACGGAATATAAAATTGAATATATAGTATGGTTCCAAGTTAAAATTTTAAACATGTAAACACAGCAAAGGAATAAACCAAAATGTTCAAGGTGGTTACTTCTGAGCTGTAGGGTGACGGGTGATTTCACTTATTCCTTTCAATCTTTTCGTCACTGTGTGAGTTTTCTACAAGCATGTATTTCTTTTATGCATTAAAAAGATGTTACTTTAAAAATTGGATCTTTGGGGATAAAAGGCAGAAGAGGGAGTCCCTGGGGTGGTGGGGAGGGAGTTGTTGATTGGAAAGGGACATGAGGGAACTTTCTAGAGTGATGGAAACATTCTACATCTTGATCTGGCTGGTGCTTATATGGGTGTATACAGAGGAACAAATTCGTTGGGCTGCACCATCAATATGTGTGTACTCGTTGTATGTAACTTTCACCTCAATTTAAAAACACTGCATCTTGACCCTTGCATCCCTTTAATTATGTGTGGCCCTCACATAATCCCGTATTTTTGGCCAGCCTTCATTTCCATGTGGTTCCCATCACTCCTGCTGAGTTGCTCCCACCCACATGTCCTGCCCCCACCTTTATGTTGCAGGTACCTTCTGGGAAGAACTACATTATCTCTTCCCTACCAAGCTCTCCAAGACAATTCTTACTTAGAGTCTGTACTCCTCTACTAACTTGCTGAGTGGCCTCAGGTAAGTAACTTATCCTTTAGTTTTTTCATCTTCAGGGTTGAGGGCAGTGGGGGTAGTAATACCTACCTCATAGGGTAATACTGCACAGATTAGGAAATACATATATGAAGTGCTTCCCACAGGGTCTAAGACGTGGTGAGCCTCTAATAAGTAGAAGTGATTATTATTCTTAGTCTCGAATCTCACCCAGACCCACCCTAACCCTACACATTCTTCAAAACATATCTACCCCTCTAGAAGCTATTCATGACCACTCCAGCTTTCGTGGGTCTCCTAATTTTTGTTGTTCAATTTAGCCCTTTACCACACACTGCCATGTAGAACTTGCTGCTCTTTCATGGCAAAGAGAGATGAGATTTATTGGTCACCTACAGTGTGCCAGATGCAATTATGAACTTGGTTTACACTATCTCTAATCATTTTAAAATAATCCCCCAAGGCAGGAGTTATTATTCTCCATTTTACAGGTGGGGAAACTGAGACTCAGAGAGGCCATGTAATTTGTTTAAGGTCACCCAGCTGGATCTGAACCCAGCTCTGCCTGAGTTGAAAATCTGTGCTTTTTCTTCCTTAATGTGTGCTAGTTGTTGAACATTTCTTGAGGGTCAGATATTAGCTGCAGCAAAAGGCAAAGAATTCATTCATTCATTCATGCATTCAGTCAACAAATGTCTGTGAAGCACTGTGACATATGCTATCAGGACCCCCTCCATTTCCTCTTAGGCCTTATCAGTGTAGTACACACAACCCAACTCTCAGTGCGGGCATCCACAAGTCTTTCCTTGAAGATTTCCTCTGGCCACTAGAGCCTGCTCTGCTGATGGACAGGATGGCAGGATGACAGAGCTGGAGACTTCCCTCTCCCTGAGAACAGCCTTCAGTGACTGATGGGAGCTAATGTGTAACCACCCCAGCCCTATCACTCACTCCTCAGGTGGGACAACTCTGAATCTGTGTCTACACTGGCTCCTAGAGTCCCAAGGAGTTTCATACTCCAGTTGCCCCAATGGTAAGTCACTTGATGACACACCTACTATAGACTGAATGTTTTTGTCCCCCCAGACTCATATGTTAAAACTTAACATCCAATGTGATGGTATTTGGGGACTTTGGGAAGTGACAGTGGGACCTTTATCAATGCGATGAGTGCCCTTATACAAGAGACCCCAGAGAGCTCCCTTCCCCTTCCACCATGAAAGGACACAAGGAGAAGTTGGCCATCTGCAACCTGCACCTGAACCTGACCCTGCTGGCATCCTGATCTCAGACTTCCAGCCTCCAGAACTGTTCAAAACTGTGAGAAATACACTTCTGATGTGTATAAGCCACAAAGAATTGTACCCTGTTTTCATGGACCTTTATTGGCTGTCTTCTTTTCCTTGTCTCACTCCCATCCGCTGACTGCACTCCCTTCACCTCCCAAATAAACCATTTGCACTTGAATCCTTGCCTCCGCGTCAGCTGTGGGAGGAAACCAGGCAAAAATGAACAGACACATCTATGAGGCGCCTGCCTTTACACAGCTTGCACCCTAGTGGGGGAGACCAGCCATAAATAAGCAAACAGTAAATACAAGATACTTATAGATGGTGAAAATTACCAGGCAAGAACCAAGATGATGTGATGGAGAATAACTGGGGTGGAGGAACTCTTGTAGATATAATCATGGTCAGACAGGGTCTCCGGGGAAAGCAACCTTCAAATGAGGCCTGGACAACAAGAGAGCCAGCCACACAAGGGGCGAGAGTGAGAGAATTTAGGAAGGGGGGACACACCAGGGGTGAAGGTCTCCTAGGTGGGAAAATGTGTTGCATATTTATGAACCCAAAGGAGGACAGTATGGCAGTAGCAGAGTGACTGAGGAAAGTGGAGATGCTGGCAGGTGACAGACCTTTCAGGGCCTGTAGGCACGTCAAGAAGTTTGGAACCATGGGAGGCCACTGATGTGGTTTAAGGAAGGTCTTTGAATTTGACCTAAACCTGGAGGTTACTGTCTCCATCCTTGGGATTCAAATTCATTCACCTGGCTTCAGGGAGGAGGGGAGAAGGAGAAGGGGCTGGAGGAGGTTGCTTCTGCAAAGAAGTATGTCAGCAGAAGCTGAAGGGACCCTTTGTTTCATCAGGCTAGTTTTCCCTTTGATTCCCCAAAACCTCTAATTCTGCATGTCACCAGGAAATAGGTATACTGCAGCTCTGTGACAGCCTTCTCCAGTGTCTATGGCAACCTCGGGCTGGGGCCATTTTTCCTTCATCAAAAGAATGGGCTGGTTTCCTGAAGATAAGTAGAGCCCCATTGTTGCTCTCAACTTTATAGAGGTAGTGTGCACAGGAATAATAAAGATCCGGCCAAATCCTGCTAATGATCTTACTTGAAATAGAGTGAAATGAAAGCATTTCTCCCCAGTCTAATTATAGATGCTTCAGGAGGAGAAGACGAGAAAGAGGCTCAAACTGGGGCTTTACTTCTTATCCCAGCCGTTATTTCTGGTGTTCTTTTGTGTGTGTGTGTGTGTGTGTGTGTGTGTGTGTGTGTGTTATGGCCAGAATCCGGTATGTTATTAAAAAGATCTGGCTTCCAGGTTTGTGAAGTAGAAGCACTTAGCTATGTTCCTGAGAGGAACAAAAGGGCTAAACAAAGCAGGTGGGTGGAGAAAGGAGCATTATTTGACAACAAAAGTCTCTTGACTTACAGATCAGGCTGGTGTAAAGCTCTTCTTCCTCTTCCTAACTGGGGGACAAGGTTATCTTTCCAAAGGAAGGCAGATCACATCATTCAACAATATAAAGACCTGCAGTGGCTTCCGGTAGGTGGGTACAATAAAAACCCTAAGCTCTTTAGCTCAACCTTTCAACCCTAGCGTTCACTATGCATCTTTTACTTAGTCTGTTGTCTACTGCCAGTTCCCCCAAAGCACCATGCTATATCTATCAGGCCTCTGAGCTTTCTTGTAGAATACATGCTTCAATAAAAATTTTAAAAAATGCATAATAGACATTTTTAATTGATCCAAGATTAATATATGTATTCATAGAATAATTTCTGATTGTATTGGGCAAGAAGAAAGCCTATGCATGATAAAAAAACTTGAAACATTTCAATAAATTATCGGATTCATTTTTGTAGTCCCATAAAAAAAAAGCTTGGCTTGGGAATCTCCTCCACCACAAAGCTGTCCTAGCCTCCCCGGGTAAGACTATTTGTTCTCACCCTTGCAACCTGTGTACACCCAAACCCCTGTATAGCAGACTTCGGGACTGGGGTAGATGGATTTCAATGATGGCCCCAGTAAATGACCTGCCTGTATCCACACCCTTTGCCTGTCATTCTGTAGTTCCCTGGCCCTGATGTGTGACTTGTTTTGAAAGATAAGATTATAGCAAAGTTCATGCAATCAGAGGCTTGAAAGCATGTGTGGGTCTCTTCTTGTCCTCGTATACAACTAGGTTTAGTTACTCTCAGATTCCTACCACCATCGCAAGAACAAGCCCCGGCTAGCCTGTTGGAGAATGAGAGACACATGGAGCACAGCAAGGCCATCCTAGAACAGCCAGCTCCTGGCCAACCCTCCAGCTGCCTGAAGATGCATGAAAGATCCCCCGCTTCCCAAACTGGCAAAACTACCCAGATTGCCCACAGGTTTGTAAACAATAATAAATGGTTGGTTTAAGCCACTACATTTTGAGGTACTGTGTTTTATGCCAATTGCTAAATAATAGAAGGGCCCACAAAGGTGAAGATTTAGGTCTGGTTGACCATTGTCTAGCTGTGTGAAAAACCATAGCTTACCTCACTCTCATCAAGAGAAAAGAGGTGAGAAAAAGAGGGGTCCACTGTGGTTAGCACATTAATTCTTTCCAACAGAGAAGGCTGATCCAATTTATGTTCTAATCCCCTCATCTCATAAGTCAAATAAAGAGCTCTCTCCCCTTCAAGGGTTAGTGAGAGGTAATGAGATGGCAACCATATCACTTGATCCTTTTGAGAGGACAGAACTTTGTCTTCTACGGACTGGTTGTAAGAAGCAGAGAGGGAAAGGGAATGGCTCCCCCTATAGGACACATTTGACCAACCATGCACAGTTGTAAAAAGTTGAAGTTTCCAGAACCATTGTACACCCTCTTTCCCTGTAAGAGAAACTATGCCAATTAAACCACTAAGGAGAGAATGGAGGGGAGAGATTCAGACAGAAGGAAAATGGACTAGGAGAGGCTGGCAGAGTATGAGAGGCACTTTAGGAAGGGATTTTGCCTTCACTGACACCATTCTACTTTCCACCCAGACTCACACTCATGCATCCTCTATTTAAAGTATTAAATATCATCATAGAAAATACCTGATGATTGATCACTACATGCCAAGCATCGAAAAAACTCATTTAACTGGGGCTTCCCTGGTGGCGCAGTGGTTGAGAATCTGCCTGCTAATGCAGGGGACACGGGTTCGAGCCCTGGTCTGGGAGGATCCCACATGCCGCGGAGCAACTAGGCCCGTGAGCCACAACTACTGAGCCTGCGCGTCTGGAGCCTGTGCTCCGCAACAAGAGAGGCCCGCGCACCGCGATGAAGAGTGGCCCTCGCTTGCCACAACTAGAGAAGGCCCTTGCAAAGAAACGAAGACCCAACACAGCAAAAATAAATAAGTAAATTAATAAACTCCTACCCCCAACATCTTCTTAAAAAAAAAAACCAAACTCATTTAACTCTCACAATAATTCTAGATGTGGGCTGTCATCCTTGTTTTACAGATGAGGAAGAAAAGAGTTAGATTTACCCAAAGTCACATAGGTAGTAAGGGATGGAATTAGGATTCAAATCCAGGCAGACTTGCTCTGATGCCTATGTATGCATAGTCTTGAGGAAAGAAGCCACATTGTGCCTTGTAGCCCATGATGTAGCATTAGACCTTGGATGTGGATCAGTAGGGTAGATCAGAATGAAGGACTATTGCTTCTTCTATACCACACTCAGGACCTTCTTCCATATTGGAGCTGCTAGACCCTTGGTTTTTTTAAAAAATCTTATTTTATTGAATTATAGTTGATTTACAACGTTGTGTTAATTACTGCTGTACAGCAAAGTGATTCAGTTCTACATATCTATATACATTCTTTTTCATACTCTTTTCCATTATGGTTTATCACAGGATATTGAATATAATTCCCTGTGCTATACAGCAGGACCTTGTTGTTTATCCATTCTATACATAATAGTTTGCATCTGCTAATCCCATACTCCCAGTCCTTCCCTCCCCCACCACGCCCCTTGGCAACCACAAGTCTGCTCTCTATGTCTGTGAGTCTGTTTCTGTTTCGTATATATGTTCATTTGTGTCGTATTTTGGATTCCACATATAAGTGATATCACATGGTATTTGTCTTTCTCTTTCTGACTTACTTCACTTCGTATGATAATGTCTAGGTCCATCCATGTTGCTGCAAATGGGATTATTTCATTCTTTTTTATGGCTGAGTAGTATTCCACTGTATACATGTACCACATCCTCTTTATCCAGTCATCTGTCCATGGACATTTAGGTTGTTTCCATGTCTTGGCTGTTGTAAATAGTGCTGCTATGAACATAGGGGTGCATTTATCTTTTGGAATTACAGTTTTGTCTGGATAATGCCCCGTAGTGGGATTGCTGGGTCGTATGGTAGTTCTATTTTTAGTTTTTTAAGGAACCTCCATACTGTTCTCCCTAGTGGCTGTATCAATTTACATTCCCACCGACAGTGTAGGAGAGTTCCTTTTTCTCCACACCCTCTCCAGCATTTGTTATTTGTAGATTTTTTAATGATGGCCATTCCAACTGGTGTGAGGTGATACCTCATTGTAGTTTTGATTTGCATTTCTCTAATAATTAGTGATGATGAGCATCTTTTCATGTGCCTGTATTAGACCCACGTTGATCTGCCCCTGGTTGCTCTATACTTCCAGGCATGTGGCTCTCTTCATTAGAAAAGCATTAGCCTGAGGGAAGGGGATCTCAGAGCCAGGCAATTCAGAATTTTGCCTATTTTTTTTTCACCCTTATTAGGACACTCCCCTCGACTTGGTTGAATTTCACCTATGTTCCTGGCTCGCCTCACTAGTACTATCACAGAAACATAACCAACCACCTCTTTTTTAACTGACTGCCCAATTTGTATTCTAACTCTACTATTTTAGCCCATTCAATTTCTACACCAGAATATCTCCAAATGCATATAACCACATAATTATACCTTTATAAACCATTTACCCAAATTCATTTTGTATACATAATTTAGTACACGTTCCTTTTCCAAAACAAAAGATTTCCTCCCCCCCCGCTTTTTTTTTTTTTTTTTGCGGTACGCGGGCCTTTGACTGCTGTGGCCTCTCCCGTTGTGGAGCACAGGCTCCGGACGTGCAGGCTCAGCGGCCATGGCTCACGGGCCTAGCCGCTCCGCGGCATGTGGGATCTCCTGGACCGGGGCACGAACCCGTGTCCCCTGCATCGGCAGGCGGACTCTCAACCACTGCGCCACCAGGGAAGCCCAAGATTCCCCTTTTATTCAATATTTTGCATCATCCTCCACCCCGTCTTTGTCTGAATTTCTTATCTGCCAGTAAATATGAGGAGTCCACCTCTGCAGTGCCCCCACGTTATTCCCTGCCAATATATATACTCCCCCAATCAGGATGTATCTCTAATTTCCTCTACAGAAAGTGAAGTCAAAGTCCATCTTGTCCCCCATTGGACTGATTTCAAGAGCAGCTTCAGTGTTTTGCATTCACCAGAGATTTATGTGGAAATGGATAAAATGGAGTCAAAAGAAAGTGACACAAACTTGCACCTGGTGGATGAGAGCAGTGAGTAGCAGTGCTCATTGCCATTCCTAAACAGCCTGTGATTCGGAAGTATTTGCCCTATCCTAGCTGAATAGTAATATACATGTGGAAATTGATAATTATGTTCATTCAACCCTTCGAAAAATGCCTTCATGTGTTAAGATGCGAAAACATAAAGCTAAGTGCCCAATTCTTTATTAACTCAGTGTGGAGTTTTTACAGTTAAAGGCAGCAGTTTTGCATCTACAATTACCCCTCAGCTTTTAAGTGGATCTAAATGGACAAATGAACTACAGCCTCCTGTTCCCCCGATACAATGCATCTCTATCCTGCTGGAAAGAAATGAACATGAGTTGACTTAGAACTAGACACTATTGGTGGCTGTGAGTTTCTCTTTGGTTTTAGCTGGAGAAATCTAAGCCCTGTAGGTAGAAAGTTCAGAGATCCTTCTTATGGCATGGGGTTGGAATAAAATTCATTTAACGAATGAATAATGAGTGTCTACCTTGTGCTAGGTACTCTTCTGGGACCTGGAAATAGGTGAGAAAGGCAAGCATCCTCCCTTATCCTACTGGGAGAGATAAACACTAAAGAAAGGAATAGAAAAACCAGATAATGTCAGACATAGTAAGTTCTAGAAAGAAAAGAAAATGGGGTAAAGATCTGGCTGGTGACTCCTGTTTGTCTGTTTTCCATGAATCTGAACGACTTATCACCATGCACTGGCCACATGGGTGGACTTTCTCCTTCTCACTCTTCTGGAATAAGACCTGGGAGTCCCATGCCCCCTTAGATTGTACACTTGAACTTTCCTGTTTTCATCTCCAGTGCTAAACCCTCTAGATCACTAGATCACTTTTCCATCCTCCACCTGCTCTATGTCTCCAATTATTGCTCACATCTGAGTCAGCTCCAGAATCATATCTTCTAAACCACCGTTTCCCCTACAGTGCTGAACACATTATTTGCACAGAGAAATGAATAAATGAATGATTCACTGGGGCAATGCTGGGATATCAATGTCTGTTCTTTTTTGGGATTGACGTATAGTTGATCTACAATATATATAAGTTACAGGTGTACAATATAGTGACTCATAATTTTTAAAGGTTATTCTCTATTTATAGTTATTATAAAACATTGGTTCTATTCCTCATGTTGTGCAATATATCTTTGTAGCTTATTTTATACATGATAGTTTGTACCTCTTACTCCCCTACCCCGATATTGCCCCTCCCTGATTCCCTCTCCCCACTAGTAATGACTAATTTGTTCTCTATGTCTGTGAGTCTGCTTCTTTTTTGTTATATTCACTAGTTTGTTGTTTTTTAAGATTCCACATATAAGTGATACCATACAGTATTTGTCTTTCTCTGCCTGACTTACGTCACTTAGCATAATACCCTCCAAGCCCATCCAAGTTGCTACAAATGGCAAATTTTCATTCTTTTTAATGGCTGAATAGTATTCCATCATATATATATATATATATATATATATATATATATATATGCCTATGTATATGTGCCACATCTTCCTTAGCCATTCATCTGTTGAGGGATACTTAGGTTGCTTCCATATCTTGGCAACTGTAAATAACACTGCTATGAACACTGGGGTACATGTAGCTTTTCCAATTAGTGTTTTTGGGTTTTTTCCATTGGAGTGGAAATGCTGGGTCATATGGTTTCTATTTTTCGTTTTTTGAGAAACCTCCATACTGTTTTCCACAGCGGCTGCACAAATGTACGTCCCCGTCATCAGCGTACGACGGTCCCGTTTTCTCCACGTCCTCACCAACATTTGTTATTTGTGTTCTTTTTGACGACGGCCGTTCTGACAGGTGTGAGGTAATATCTCACTGTGGTTTGATTTGCATTTCTCTGATGATTAGCGATGCTGAGCATCTTTTCAGGTGCCTGTTGGCCATCTGCATTTCCTTGTTAGGGCACTGTGCAGTGAAGAATTAATCTTACCCAAACAGAGGTCTGACTTTTGCTTTTGGCTACTGAGATGCAATCCCTTGACCCTTGGAATGTCATACCTGATAGGAGTGTCCTTGTTTGCCTGGGGCCTTGGCCACCAGGCAGTCTAACAATGTGGTTTACAAGGCAGGCTTTCGGTCACACAGTATCAGTCCTACCTTTGAAGGAGCTTAAGACAAATGGTTAGCCAAACGTTATCAGTTCTAACACCAGATGGGCTGCTGCACAAGCAGTACATGATCAAGCCCCAATAAAAACCCTAGAATCTCAGGTGAGTTTACCTGGTTGGCAATACTCTGTGCATATGGTCACCCATTGATGCTGAGAAAGTCACACTATCCGTACATAACTCCATGGAGAAAGAATGACTGAAACTCCAAATTGGAAACCTCTCCTGGACTCTGCCCATGAGCTTCCTCCCTTGACTGATTTTAATCTGTATCCTTTCCTGGCAATAAACTGTAACTGTGAGCATAAGTGCTTTCTGTGAGTTCCGTGAATCCTTCCAGCTAACTACCAAAAAGCTAAAAGTGGTTTTGGGGACCCTATGAACCTACAATTGGTGTCAGAAGTGAGGGTGTCTTTGGGTGGATTTTGTTCCCTCTACTATATAGTTCTTTAACTCTCATAGCCACGTGCCTGCCCCATGTCACCACATAAAAAGAAAGATCCTGCACTTACTTAACAGTTCACAGCCTAAGTTCTGAATGCCTCCCTTTGGCTGGTTCTCTATACAAGTATGAGCTCTGCATGGCCTTTCATCATTCCACCTCCCTTTTGTTCACCCTTGTCCTTTTTATTTGACTCAGAACCATTTTGCCATCTATGATATTAAATCCTCTTGAACAAGTTTCTTTGTATTGACTACTCAGCCACCAATAAACACAGTCCCCCAAATTTCCTATTACCACCCTATTACCAGTCCCCAAACAGGAACTGAAGGTCCAGGTAATCTACCTGAGAAACAAAAAGAAAACTGAGGGCTTCCCTGGTGGCGCAGTGATTGAGAGTCCGCCTGCCGATGCAGGGGACACAGGTTCGTGCCCCGGTCCGGGAGGATCCCACATGCCGTGGAGCGGCTGGGCCCATGAGCCATGGCCGCTGAGCCTGCGCGTCCGGAGCCTGTACTCCGCAACGGGAGACGCCACAACAGTGAGAGGCCCACGTACCACAAAAAAAAAAGAAAAAAAAAGAAAACTGAATGGGGTAATGGTTTCATATAAGAAATAAGAAATATGATGAGGGCCTCTCTAGGCAAGATCTCAGGGAGCATTCCACACATGTCACTTTTCTTCCTTCCTTCTTTCCTTCATTTATGTCAAGGACAATGTCTGGCATGTCACTAGACGCTCAATAAATATTTGCAATATTTGTTCAATGCATGGATGAGCTAACCTATACTGAGCACATCCTGTATTTTGTACGCTGTGCTAGGGACTGGAGATACAGTGATGGATAATACAGATGTGTTCCAACTTTGATGTACTCATTCCACCAGTCAACCCATTGAACCAGGGGAATCTGAAGGAAACACAGGGAATAATAAGAATAATCTCATGTGGATACTTATTTTATTATGATTCATCTTCTCCTTCCACCAGCTGTGGCTCTTTGGGTATCATGCAATATCATAAAAATGATGGAGACTCTTTGACTGGAAGGATCTTAGATTTTAGCATGTGCCCACACCTTATGCGTCAAGCACAGTCCTGGTCTCAGCTTGCCTCAGGGAGAAATGATCTTACAGATTTCATAAAGCAAACCTTTATCTCCCTCCATCAATTCCGCTACCCTTCTCCCATGTCATCACACAGATGACAAGGGGAGTAGGATATAAAGGGAGCATTATCTAGAGAAACAAGATAAATTAGTGTATAACCTTCACCTTTGCCTGGAAATGTTCTAGCCTATTGTTTTTTTATTCTATTTTTTTCAGGGGTCCTTATCTCCTTTGTTTTTCCAAATAAGCCATAACTGGATTATTTGGTGCCCCAGATCATACATCAAAATTTGAAATCACTGGAGTTCAACAGATGAAGAAAGTTTACATTTCAGAGGAGAATGGAATGTGCATTCCTCTTCAGCTTTTCCAGCCTGGCATTTGCTAATATTAGGCTGTTATTGACCCCACATATCATGTCTGGAGACTTTAATGAAGATGTTCCAACATAATTAACTTAGGAACAAAGGGGCAAAATAAAGGCATTGTGCTGATATCTGACCATTAGAAGCTACTCTACCTTAAAATAATGGGTATGGAGAAAGAAAAAAGTTTGCATAAATCCTTAGATATTCTTATAGTCACTATCAAGCTTCAGACATTTATTAATATGATCCCTAAAATACACATTTGCATAGTCAGTGGGCAGTAATTGAGTGTCCACTGCATACTTAGCAACACTGGATTCACAGAAGATGCCAAAGGAGAGAGATGGTCCCAGTCCTCTTGGAGATGGAGTCTATTGGTACATAAACGTAATACACATAAACAACCTCAAAATGAGTCAGCTCTATGAGTGCCTCAAGGAGAGGAATGGTATTGGTAGGGTCACAATAATAACAATAATAATAATAATACAAAGACTTGGAATTTTTTGATTGCTTACTGTGTGTCATGAACTTCACAACAAGCCCCCAAGTTCTATCATACTAGTCCCACAGTACGGATGAGAAAACTCAAGTTTAAAAGTTATGTGAGTTCCCCAATGTCACACAGTTGGTAAATTTATCATTCATCTAACAAATATTGATAAAATACATATTCTATGCCAGAGACCAAGCTAAGCGCTTTTTATTTTTCGTCTTATTTAATTATCATGATAAAGTCACGGTAGAATGGATTTTCCTGTCCCACATGTACTACAGAACCTTGCCACCCCTACTAAGAAATGAAGTCTCTTTCCCTTCGCCTTGCACCTGGGTGGTTTTTGTGACCGTCTAGAAGAATAGAGGCTGGTGCATGTAATGCTATGTGACTTCTAAGGCTGCACAATGGGAGACACAGCTCTGCCTGGCTCTCTCTATTGAGAGAGTCACTCCTGAAGCCAGCCATCATGCTGTGAAGAAACCCAGGACACATGAAGATGCCTCCTTCTCAGATGAACTCCCAGCCAGCAGTCAGCACTGACTTGGAAACCATGAGGTGACCCATCTTGGAAGCAGATTCTCAGCTCTCAGGGAGAGTAGCCACCACTGATGCCAAGTGGAGTGAAGAAGAGACTTCCCTACTGAGCTCTGCCCTGATCACAGATGCACAAGCAAAACGTGTTTTTGTTTTAAGCCGCCTGTGATTGCTTAATTCTATGTGTCAACTTGACTGGGCTAAGGAATTTCCAGATAGCTGGTAAAACATTATGTCTGGGCATGTCTGTGTTTCTGGAAAAGATTAACATTGAATTGGCAGACTGAACAAAGATGATTGCTCTCACCAATGAAAGTGGGTATCATCCAGTTCACTGAGGGCCCAAATAGAACAAAAAAGGTAGAGAAAAGGTGAATTGGTTCTTTCTGCTTGAGCTGGGACATCCAGCCCTCGGACCTTGTTGTTCCTGGTTCTCAGGCCTACGAACTCAGACTGAATTACAACACTGGCTTTCCTGGGGCTCCATCTTCCAGACAATAGATTGTAGGACTTCTCAGCTTCTGTAATTGCATGAGCCAATTCTTCATAATCTCTCTGTCTCTCTCTCTCCATATATCATATGGATTAAATATATATATGTGTATATATATATATATACATTATGTATATATAATGTATATATATATATGTGTATATATATACATATATGTATATATATACTATTGGTTCTGTTTCTCTGGAGAACCCTGAAAAACACACCTCTGTATTAGCAGTTTGTCATGCAGCAGTTGATAACCAGAAAAAATGCTGAGATGAAGGTTAATTTAATCCTTATTTTCCAGATGAGCAGCAAGAACCTTAGCAAAGTGGAATAGTTTACCTAAGATCACACAGCTATAAGTGGTAACCCTATAAGTATAGCCCTGACTGGAACCCAGGTCTGAATTTATATTCCAGATTCTTAGCTGCAGTGCTGTACAAGTTCCTGATTCCAGAAAAATCTGAAAGACATGCATTCAGTTATTGCCCTTCATGTAGTAAGCAGGTACAGTGTACCAGGCTTGGGTTAGGTAGAAGGTGACAAAGAAGAATGGGATTTAGACTTGCCCTCATTGAGCCCACAGGCCATTGGAAGAGACATTTCAACCACAGTTACAATAGTGTGATGGTCTACCATTATTGTAAGTGTTTACAAAGCACTTAATGCATGGAACTAAACTAAGCAGTTTACATGCATTATCTCACTTAATCCTCATAATAACCCCAGGAAATAATTACTATTATTTCCCTCTTTAACAGTTGAGGAAACTGAGGCACACAGAAATGAAGTAACTAGCTGAAAGTCACAGATCTATTTAGGGACAGCGCAGGATTGAACCCAGACAGTTGGGCTCCAGAGGTGCATTAGTTATCTGCTGAGGCCTGATGAATGACCCCAAAGTTTAGTGACTTAAAACTACAAAGTATTATGCTTACAATTCCTGTGAGCCAGAGATTCAGGGTGGCTTAGCTCAGGGTCTCTGATGAGGGTGTGGTCAAGATATTGGTTGAGGCTGCAATTGTCCGAAAGCTTGACTAGCACTGGAATATCCATTTCTAAGATGGCACACTTGCATCTTGCTATTGTTGACGAGTCCTCGATTACTCTTTTTTTTTTGCGGTACGCGGGCCTCTCACTGTTGTGGCCTTTCCCGTTGCGGAGCACAGGCTCCGGTCGCG